AGACTGACACAGCTTCATGTCTGCCTCATCGAATTGGTTAAAGTCAGTCACAAGGCCAGGGCAGATTCTCTGTGGGATGGGACCTCACAGGGGCATGAATGCTTGGAGGGCTGGTTAATTGGAGACCATCATTGGAGATCAGTTACAACAATGGGTAGGAAAAAGATGCTGAGATGTAGAAGGATGAGCAGAGAGAAAAGCCTGAATAAAAGTAAAAAGTTGGTAAAAAAAAAAAATACAAGAGAGAGGGCTAGTTACAAGTGTACACTTTGTAAAGAACAGTAAATGGACAACTGGTTTGAATGCGAAGCAACAGTCACATTGTTGGGAACTTGAATATTAGGCTTAGCAATTTGAACTAAATTTTGTCCAGTAGTTCTCAAATCTAACAGTGCCACAGAATCTCCTGGGGACTGTGGAATGCCAACTGCCCCATTCATCAATGTGACCTACTGATAAGACAGAGAGTATACTCCCTTAGCAGAGACTTGGCTTAAGGGGGAAAGGCAAGGTTAAAACTCATTGAGAACTGCAAGCTTGGTTTAAGGCAGGTTCTCTCACTGAAGAGGGAGGAAGGTCCTAATTAGGATTGGGTAAAAAAATCGTAACACAACAGTCTAAGGTTGACAGCAAAAGCAAGGTAAACAAATGATTCGGGTAATCTTAGGGCACAAAGCATCGATGCTTTCACTGAAGAGTTGATGGATGTTATGGAAAATTTCTGTGATGAATAATGAAGGTATTTGTCTAGGCGAGAACCTCCCGGAATAGTAAAGCGAGGTTAATGAAGACAATGGAATAGTAGCATCACGTTAATGTAGAGAGTCAGCTCTGTGGAATGTAAGTAGTTTGGTTCTCAGAACTGTCAAATACAGATTCTTAGAACTCATCCTCAAAAGTTCTTATCCAACGAAATTCAAGAAACCTGTTTTTAACAGTCTCCACTGGGAATCAACACTATAAGCTGAAATGTGGAGGACACACACCACCCCAAAATATGCCGCTTTCGTTCATTGCTTATTTTGAGCTAAAGGCATTTGAAACACAGCAAATGCAGGGAGATGCTTTTTCTGAATTTCCCTTATCTGCCTAGAGACAGATCCTCCAAAAGGAGCTCGATCATCACAGACTTCCTCCCCAGGCATTGTAACATTGACTCAACACAGAAGAAGAGGCTAGAATTTCACACCACAACCAGACAAACTTTGTCACAATCGTACCTCCCATCTATTCTCGTAAGGGCCCATGTACATTTCCTAAAAGTCATTTATTCTTCCCTATAAGATCTACAAGCTCCCCTATGCTTTCCCCAGTAAGATGGTATTTAAAATTAAATTCTAAAACCACCTCTTTGAGTTACTCATTTTCCCCTGAGTAAGCGTCCGTTTTTGTCTTGTTAATCTGTCTTTTAGTACAGGGGGTCTCAGTTAAGAACTCAGAAGGGTAGAGGGAACTTATTTTTTATTACTACGAAGTAACGGACCACTGCAGCTTTTTTGTTTGCACATCTGCCAGGATCCCAGCTGTGTTTCAGGAGATGGGGACATCTGCGCAAGGACCCCAGCAGTCACGCAAATGAGATATAACGATGGCATCGACTGTGAGTTTTGAAGACACAGGTTAATTTAGTGATGCCGGGCAGGGCTTTCCTTGACCCTTTCTCCCTGCCCGTTTTCCTCATCTCTGATGGTTCTGAGTCTTCTCCAAGCTAAGTGACAGAGAATACGAGTATCCATTGCCAGCTAAGACTGACCCAGGAGAAATCCTTGAGGAAAAGTATCATGGGAAAGACAGAGAGGCCACAGGAAGTGGGGATTTTCAGGTGCCTTTGGAAAAGGAAGGGAGTGAGAACTAGAAGTTTCTTTGAGCCTATAGGTTCCTTGATCAGTGACTCAGGTGTGCGTGGCAGGGCGGGGATGGAGGTGCACACAGAGGGAGGAGGAGTGATTTAGAGGTTTAACCTAGAACTCCCATCAGCTCACATTCAGAATGAGAAAGGCCTTAAGACCCCATCCAGAGTTTAGGATCCCTGGGCCTGAACTATCAGAGCACTCAACTGAAAGTACCCCCCATCCCCCACCACTGACCTCTCAGCCTGTCTGACCCTTAACTGGTATAATCTTTGTTAAATTACTCTTTGTTCCTCTCTTTCTCCTCACGTTCGTTCGCAGAAAAGATGTTCGCGGAGATTGTCTCTTGTCCCGAAGTCACAGAACTACTAAGTACGAAGCTATCTCCCAAATCCAGTTCTGCAAACTCCGACCCACTCTCTTCTTTCCTTCGTGGTTATCTCCTCCTCCCTTTTCACAAGCAGCATGTTTTTTTCAAGCAGTACGATTACGTGTCCCGTTTCTTTATTTTAAAAGTATATAGACAGATAATGCTGCAGTTAGTTAAAACTGTGATTCTATTGAAAGAAGTTTGTCCTTTTGTGGTATTATTGAAGACCACTTTGCATCCTCATTCATTCATTCATTCATTCATTCATCCATTCACTCATTCATGTATTCCCTCCCCAACATTTAGTGTATGAAATGAGACCCCTAACACGCAGGGCCAAGATTTAGTCAGTAGCCTCAGGGAGGGCGTTAGCAGTCAGTGTGGGTTCTGATTGGCTGGGCCTGCAGCTTGCAGGGAATTAAATATTGGGGCTATTTCCTCTGTCGATCTGCCAGGGTAGTTGCGTGTGTGCCCCCTGGGGTGCTCAGGTGGGGTGCAGAACAGCCTGAGTCTGGGAGGTGAAGTCAAGAGGCAGAGACCCAGATCCCATCCCGGTACGGTCTGATTTTGTGTGACCTTACATGCACATCACTTTCTCTGGAAATCGGTTTCACAGTGGATGAGATAAACGTGTACCATTTTGGCAAAAGAAAACAGTATGTGTCTGTGTGCCTGGGCGCATGCATGAAGCCACATCAGCGAGGATCACCTACCTATTCACAGCGGTTTTCTCTGGGGAGTAGACCTGGGGAAAGGAGGTCTTTTCTATTTATCTAACCTCTTCACTCTTTTTAAATTTTTTATAACAAGCGTTTGTTGTAATTTTTAAAAAGCTGACAGTTTAAAAAGTCTTATCTGTCCCTGTTTTGCAGGAAGTCACGCTGCTCGTCAGAGGTCACACGGAGCCTTGGCATCTGACTCAAGGCTGTCCTGCCTGTTTGTTCTTTACGCTGCCCCTGAACGACCGAGGGATGGCAGACTGGGCCCCGTTTGGCTTTCCTAGGCCCCAGGCCTCCGCGAATGCTGCGCAGGGCTGGAATCCAAACTTCCGCACAGAGTCTTCCTCGCCTTCGTCCTGCTGGCATCTGGACCACGTCAGCAAATGCTCGGCCACTGTTCAGTCAAAGCACGTTGATCTTCTCTTGTAGCCACTGTGTAAAATGCCCACAAACCTGCCCCAGGTCCTGGCAAAAGACCTATCATCAAACATGAATTTCTAGACAGTTTTGGCTTTATAATGACATGCAGTATCTGTTCCTAAGTCATAGGCTTAAGGGACTGAGCAGGATGGGGAAATTGAAAAGATTATTTGCCCCTGTCCTAGGAAGATACATCAACAGGGGGCAAAAAACCTTACTGTTTTCTAACAGAACAGTCTTCTCTATAGCAAATAATCCATCCCAAATTACCTTATGATAAATCAATCATACTTTATCACAAAAGAATGTACAAATAAGGGTTGGCAGGAACTACATGGTGGTAGAAAGAGCATTAGGCTTTAGATTTAGACAAATCTGGTTGCAAACCCAGACCTCAAACTAGTCACTTAACCCACGTTACTGAACCTCATTTCGTGCCAGGCACTCTGCTGGGCATTTTACATCCAACAGCTCAAGCCTCAAGAGGTTCGAATGGTGCTCATGGTGTAACAGATAAGGCAGTGGGCTCAGGGAAGAAGACCATGCTCATCTGTACCCTGCTACCTCTGGACACTGCCACCTCTCCCATGCACGATGGGGAGAAAAGACTTCTGCTCCAAGCTCACAGTTGCAACCAGGTCCAACACGGAGCGATGCCACTGGGTCGTGATCCCATGTGTCCTGTCCAGGAGCCTTCTTTAACTGCAAAAGCCCTAGGAGGAATAAAAACCAAGCCCCTGACACTGAACAGTGGATGGAAGCTGGGCTTTAGCTCAGATGGACCTGGATTGAAATGCTGGCTCCATCATGTCCCTAACTGTGACCCTGGGCATTTTACCTGACTTCTCCGGGGCTCAGTTTCCCAATGTATAAAAGGAGAGGTGAAAATGAGATTATAAAGCACCTAGCCCAGGGTCTCATTTTGAGCAGCTGCTGATCTCATGGGGAGGGGACTCGTAGAGGAAAAACAGGAGGGAAATCCTTGGGCCCTGAACCGTTTGTGAGGTGTGCTCAGATCCCACTGAGATGTTCTGTCCTGCCCATAAGGCAGCACAGCCACCCCTCACTTCTTAGAGCTGCCCTGAGCCTGGCCCAGTTGGGGAAGGGGCTCATGTTTGGAATATCTGCTGAAGGCCCACAAGGAAATCAGCCTGGAGTGAAAGCTACGTGTGACCTGCCAGGTACACTGCCCATAGGCCAGCTGGGAAGAGGCCCAGTCTTCCAGACTGTGCCCCTGGGGCCACTTCCTCACCCACCCTGTGCCTAACACCTGCAATAGCAGGACTCTATCTGAATCCTGCGGCCAGGAACAAGTGATGACTAAAAATATCAGGTGCTCAATAGGTAAGGTGTAATTTTCTTCCTAGAGCTGACTTCTCGGGGGGCCTCAGGCACTGACTCTTCATCAGCCTTGTTCATCTCTTCCTGGCCCAGCCCAAAGCCTGGAATCTGCTGGGGTTCGCTCCCCTTGGTGCTCTTGCTAAGGGAGCTTGATATTCTTTCTTGAAGACTTCATCGAGAGGCGTCTTGGGGAGGGGACTGCTCCTTTGGGGAGGAGCCTGAGTCGGGCTGAATCACGGTCCCGCGGCTGGGCATATTTCAGCTCCCAGGCCAAGGACTTACCCTCCAGAACCCCGAACCATGATGGAGCTGAGGGGCAGCAGGCTGTCAAGGAGAAGCTCTCCTCCAGCCATGGCCCTGTGCCTTGCCCCACTCCTGCTCCTGCTTTGTGCCGTGTGTGGCGGCACGGGGGATAAATGGGAACCCGGCATCCAAGGCTGCACGCAGGCGCCGAACGTGTCAGTGCTGGGGGCGCTGCCAGGAAGCGGCTGGGACAACCTGCGGAACGTGGAGCTGGGGCTGGTGCTGTGGCACAACTATTCACAGTGTCACACCACGCACGACGGCGAGTACCTGATCCCAGACCACGTGTACGTGGTGCCGTGGCGGGAGAGCGTGGTGGAGCTCATGGACAAGTGGCTCAGTCACACGGACACCTGGGCGGCCTCCATCAACGCCGAGGTGTCCTATCTCCCTATGCTCAATGGCAAGTTCTCCTCCGACTTCCAGAACGTCAAGAAGCACGACTTGGAGCACGAGACGGTCACGACCAGGGTGCAGGTCCGCCATAACATCTCCTCCGTGAAGGCCCCGGAGATCCCCAACTTACACCCTGCCTTTTGGCAGCATCTGGTGACCATCAGCGATCACCTGGAGAACAATGAGACCCGCAAGGCCGAGTACCTGGCGGAGATGCTGGTGCTTCGGTTCGGCACGCACGTCCTCACGCACGTGGATGTGGGGGCCAGCTTGGTGCAGGAGGACCAGGTGAAGCGGGCCCTGATGAGCGATAAGGCCATCGAGAAGACCAGCATCTCGCTCGCCGCCTCCGCCGTGTTTTTCAAAGTGGTCAACGTCGGGGCCTCGGCCTCCTGGCAGGAGCAGAGCCAGCACTTCCAGGACTACAGGCAGAGCACGTTGTCCCCCAAGACGCGCAGCTACGGGGGCAGCCCCTTCTACCCCGGCATCACGCTGCAGTCCTGGCAGGACAGCATTGGCAAACGGCTGGTGGCCATCGGCGGGTCGGGCCTGCCCCTGCCGACGCTGATCAAGCCCGAGGCGCTGCCGGAGCCCGCGGTGCACCGCGTGGCGGGCGCCATGCACGCGGCCATCTCCCGCTACTACGCGGTCAACGTGCATCCCGGCTGCCTGCGGCGCGGGTCGCCCGACTTCAACCCACAGGCCAACGTGGACGACGGCTCGTGTGACGCCGGCGGCCGCACCAACTTCAGCTTCGGCGGCGTCTTCCAGGAGTGTGAGGCCGTGTCCGGGGAGGACATCGAGAACCTATGTCAAAACTATCACGTCGCGAACCCGCTCACGGGCAGCACCTCGTGCCCGGCCAGCTACACGTCCAGCACCCTGCACAGAGAGCTGAAGACGTCGACGCAGGCCCACCCCGAGTGCAAGAGACAGTGCAGGAGCTGCAATCTGTTTTCAGAGTGCTGCGATGACGTGTGCACCACGCGCGTGGTCAAGAGCGTGGTGCGCCTGGTCACCTCCTGGTGCGTGCCCGCCCAGACCGCCATGCCCGTCGCTTCCGGCTTCCTCTTCGGAGGCCTCTACAGCTCTGGCAAACCAAACCCGCAATGGGTTTGATCTGGATCAAATATTGGCTTCTATTATTCCTCGTGCCTCAGTTTAGTCCTCTATAAAATGGAGTTAGCATGTTAAATGCCCTGGTTATTTGAGACGATTAAACAAGCTAATGGATACAAAACGCTATGGAACAGCCTGGACTTTCTAAATGTGAAATCTATCACATTAACACTCGGGGTCTGATTTACCGCTGCTTTCAGAGTAGGACCCCCAAATCAAATCAGATAGACCTGGGCTCAAGTCCCAGCACAGCTGCTTACCGGCTCTGTGACCACAGGCAAATTGCCTCACCTCTCTGAGAACTAATCTCATATATAAAATGGAGATTATCGTATGACTAATGTCATAAGTAGTTACAAGGATTAAATGAGATAATGCAAGGAAATCCCTTAGGACTGTGTCTGACCTGTCATCGTGAGCTGTCGCGGTGTGGAGATAATTCTGGCGGTGATGTACTGTGATGTGTGGAGGCCGGCAGTAGCAGAGTGCTGGGTACACAAAGATGAATGACTCACAGCTGAGTGGGTCAGACACCCAGAAAATGTAAATTATTCATTGTGAAAACATCACAGAGCATCAAACAAAACATTATGAGAAAATAAATGAGGGACACAAATTCTAACTGGGAGGGAGCTGTCACGGCTCCTGAGATGGGATCGGACTAGGCTCAGCCAGGCGCATTTTCAGATTTCTTCCATTCTGGCCTGGGAGGACCCTTTCTACAGCGACTGAATGGTCTCAATTCATTTCCTGAAATAGCCCCAAATTATATGACACTGAGCTCCCCTGCCGAGAGAGAGAAGAGGTGGAAATTAGGGTATAATGGAAGGTTTGGGCATGATATACAAAAAAAGGAAGGCAGAACAGATCACCCTATAAGTCCAAATCTGGACTCTTGTCACTACCGAAAGGAGGCACTATTAATCATTATATAGAACATCTCGACCAGAACATATGTCACTCCACTTCCATAGGTGACTGTTTGCCGTTGGGCTGACCCACCTCGTCACCCTGATCTCCAGCTAGCTGGTCCCCATGACACACACACCCAGTGTGTTGCACACATGGATCTCCACGTCCAGTCAGTTCCTGGCTGGGCTTCTGCCTATTGAGAAATCGTACTCATCAATCAAGACTGAGTTCCATTGCCACCTCCCCACAAAATACATTTTAATTTACCCCCTTCTCTCCCTACCTTCACACGCACCTTCATTCTCCAGGAAGAATTCAGCTCTGTCTCTTTAGCAGCATGTTACTATGAGGGTGTTGCTTTGCGTGAATTCTTTACCCAGCTTGACCATGAGCTCTTTGAGTGGGAAAAGGATGGTGTTGTGCTCATCGTAGTTATTTCTACAGCTCAGCAGCAGGCAGAACATCTGAGACATTCTACAAGTTCCCCGAATGGAAGAAAATCAGAAGAGGCCTTGTGAGGCCCCAGGTGGTAAGACCCAGCTACCAAATCCTTTTAGGGTATCTGCCCTTCTTGGATTCTCAAATGTATTATTATTTCATTAATAAACCAGCTTTAAGCCTTGTTTTTCCCATTCTAAGTGCTTGAATAAATACTCAGATGAATAAAACTCAGTTTTCATCGTCTCAAAATATTCTAGGTAAGTAGACAGCTAAAAATAAAAGGGGTGGGAAAGGGGGAGGTGACAGCCTGGTGTGATTGCCCAGTCCTCACATTCATTTGAGAGCTCTGAGTAACAGTGGGGGGGTAGGGGGGGAAGGAGGGGAGGCTGCGGAAACTGATCCCAGCTGTCGCGATATTGCACACTGTCTTCTCCTGGAACAGGCTTCTCTTGGACAACTGGGTTGTTGCTACCTTGTGGACACTGTAAGTCATGTAAAACAAAGAGGTGTTCCTCTTTCTTTTGACTTCTAGAAAGCTTAGACCCAAATTTTGGCCCCTTCTCCAACATTTTTGTTGCTAAACATGATTTTAGTTCTAACTTTTCTGCCTTTGCATTCCCTCTTTATTGACTCATTTTTTCAAAAATTTATCTTACAAGTATGTATTTGCACAAAGCACCATATATAGACATATATGGGTGTGTGTGTATATATATATATTTTAATAAAGAGAAATGAATATAGAGCTGAGGCATTGTGGAAGGAGACTTACAAGGAAAGGCCTGGTAAACCTCAGAGCCCCTCCTTATCTCAGCCACAATCTCATATCTCTAGGCTTAGGCTTGGTCCAAACCCATCTTTTCTAGTGATTGTTCTCTGTACTTCCTAGAGAGGAACTGTCGTAAACCCAGATAGTCCTGGGTATCCTGAAAATTTAACAATGAAAACTAATTTTATATTTAATTGATGGGTTTTTTAAAAAGCAAGTTAGGGGTGTAAATAGAAGTGAGGTGTGTATATATTATAAAAATAATGTGTCTCAACATCAAACGGTTGGGAATCAGTAAATTATAGACAGACAAATCAGCAAGGTTGGGAGCTCAAAATTCAGACTGGGGTTCAAGGAAAATCTTCTAAACTTCATAGTTTGGGGAGTCCAAGATAGAGAGAGTAGGAGGTAAGAAAGGCAAGGCATTTACATCATTCATTCATTCATTCATTCATTCATTATGGGCTCCTAAGAGGAATGACCCTTTCCAAAGTGTTGAAGATAAAAAACACTGAAGGAGGAATTATAGCAAACAATCTTTGTGACCTTGAGTTAGGCAAAGATTTTTAGATATGACACCAAAAGAACAAGTTAATAAATTGGACTTTGAAGGAAACCAGAATATGTCACCCCAAAATATGCTCTTTGACATACAAATTATTTTGAGCAAAACACAATTAAGAGGCAGCAAACACACCAAAAAGCTCCCCCTTTTCTGCCTAAAGGAAAGCTATAAATTCTACTTTTACTGAAGACAGACTTTTATCAACCTAGAAATGACATCAAAGGAATCTGTAAACAAACCTTATTCCTTTAGTTTACTTATGTTTCCATAGTTGGCCGCCCTCGGAAGCCTAAGCTTTCCTTTCTCCTGTCGTTTCTCTACAAATATATTCTTTGTTGAAGATGCTATAAAGGCTGGAAAAATAAGCCACCATTTTGAGTTACTGTTGGTTCTGGTTTCTCCTGCACGATGTGCACTGCATGCCTTAATAAACTTCTTTTCTCTTGTTATACTGTCTTTTTTTATTGAAGAGTCCCAGCTGAAAACCTAAATGAGTAAAGGTAAAGTTCTGCCTCCCCTACAACTTCATCAAAATTTAAAACTGGGCTGAGAGAAGGACTCAAAGCTCTGAAACATAATATTTATATGAATATGAGGTCAGCACACATGGCTCACGGGCTAGGCACTTGTTTTTGTAAATAAAGTTTTATTGGAACACAGCCACACTCATTGGCTTATTATCATATTATCTCTCACTGCTTCCATGTTACAGTGGCAGAGTTGAATAGGTACAACAGAGGTCTTGCAGCACACGAGCCTAAAATATCTACTATTTGGCTTCTGAAATAGTTTGTAAACCCTTCATATGAAGCACACTGTCCATCGGAAGCCAAGATGTGTTCATTCTTTCAAGACTATGGTAACCAAGTGGGGACTGAGACTGCCAGACTGCCCCTCTACCACTGTCCAGTTCCCTCCAGCCTGGAGCAGCTGGCTCCTAGAATCCAGATTGCCTCCAGCGTACCCCAGCGTGTCATACAAACATCATCATTTCTGTGAAAAAGGTTGGGAAGAATTTATCTAAAGCAGTAATCACTCTCCCAGGACATACTACCTTCCATTCCCTTTATCACTATCTTTACCTGCCTCCATCCCGTCATTCAGGTGACATTTGGTGAGCATCTACATTATGCCAAGGAAGACATAGCCCCAGCCTTCAATGGAGCCCACACTTTAGCATGAGAGAGGCATGCACACAAATATGCAATGTGCTAAGTCATGTAATAGTAATGCAAAGAAAAAGGTTGGCTTGTACACCCAAATACCTCAGTCTGAACACCAGCTTTGCCAGTTCTCTGTTCTGCAACTTTGGGTGAGTCATTTAACCTTTCTGAGTTTCAGCTCTTTTCTCTATCAAGTGACAATGAGAGTAACATCAAGTGCAATGGGGCGTTGTGAGGATTAAGTAAGCGGCTAAATGCAGGGCATCTAGTTCAGCATCAGAACTCAAAATTATTATCAATCTCAGTAGCAGTGGTAGTAATAGTTGTCAGTAGTAGAAGCAATAGTGATAGTAGAGGTTGTATAAGCTACAAGTCACAGCAAAGAGAAGAGAGCAGTGAAATGGGTGTTTATTGATCAGGGATGTTTTCACAAAGTGACATGTGATCTGAATCTTGAAGCCAGAACAGCAGTTAGTCATGTGGAGGGGGAGATGAGGGTACAGAGAGAATACAATGAAAACCTTCTTGGCAGATGGAAATTTGCCCAAGATAAGAGATGGAGAGTGGGTCTCTTGATATGCCTTAGATCTGCTAAAGTTCTGGTGACTGTCAGAATGAGAGGGGGCTCTGCCCTTGGATTTGGACAAAAGGACCCTTCGAGTTCCCTTTAGGACTAAGGCAGAAGAACTGCCCTACCCCTCATGATTTTTCTTTATCTTTCTTTTCCTTTCCTTTTTCTCATGGTGTCTTTTATGCTGACTTGAAGAGGGTCACTGATCTAAAACCTCAAATGCTTTCTCATTGCTTATAGAATGAATCTAAAGTCCTTAGCATGTTTTCAAGGTCCTTATGATTGAACCCCAACCTTCCTGTCCGGCTTCATTCCCAGTCACTCAGCTCCCCACTTCTCCCTCCATGTTTCCTTCTCCGCTTTCGACTCAACATATTTCAAACCCGGCTTGCAATCTCCTCTGCTACCCCCATCCCGGTTCCCCGTTTTGTGTTTCCTGCCTAAGTTATTCACTATTATACTAGCTGGGAGGGGGTCTTTTTGGTTCCTTCCTCTTTCTAAAACTCACAATCTTTCTCCCGAAGTTTTCAAACCAAATCCTCCATCATGATGTTCAGAGCTGTCTTCTTTTCTCCATTCCCACTGTCACTTTTAATTCGGGTTCTCCATTATCTGGGTGTTTTGCTTCTGGTCTTGTCCCCATAAACCCATCTGTGCACAGCGGCTTAAGTGCTCCCTTAAAAAATGTAAACCCAATCGTGTCGCTTGACTGCTTAAATTTTTCCAATGGTTTCTCTTTGCAGTGCTGATATCCATTAGCCAAAGACCACCAGGACAATGCCTACAGTCGAACAAAGTTGGGTTTACTGGTTTGTTGCAATGAGGGAGACAGCACATCGTGGGGGACATTGGGGTACCCCAATAAGAAAGTATTAACAGGGATTTGTTATAGGATTTTATCTTGGTTAGGTTTGGGAATAATTACAAGCTGGTCTGAGGCTCACAGCCAGTTAGCCTAAGCAACCTAAACAATAGAATAATATTAGAATTATTATAGAATAGTATAGTAGAATAGAACAGAATAGCATAATAATCACACACAAAGTTACCTTGAGACCATGATAAATGAAACAAAACAAGCCCACTTCATAATTTTGTCTAATCACAGACAAAAGCAAGGTCACTGTGCCACCCACAAAATACTCAGTCATGGAATCGGCCCCACCTTCTGACAGCATGTAATCTAGAGCAAATCTCTGCTTCCTTAGGCCCTCCCCCAGATCATCCAACCAAAGCTAAATCCTGTAATAATTTCTATCTAACACTCTGTTACTGAGATGCCCTGTGGCTTCCTATGGCAGGTGTTCTTCCTCACTGACACAAGTAATAAACTCACCTGTTTAACTACAGGTGCACATTTGGCCTTCTGCCAATTCCTTGAAGACAGGACGCTCATTCAGGGTTTTGCGCTTATCAGTTCCCTCTGACTGTAATACTTTACTCTCAGATCTATTTCTCGTCATTCAGATTGCAGGGGAAAATAAACCACTCGAGAGAGGACTTTATGGTCCCTAATCCTAAGTAATTCTACCATATTACCTTTTTTACTCCCTACATAATTTGTATCGCTCTGTACATTATATTATTGCGCATTGACTGTTTTCCCCCAACAGAATGCGAATTTTAAAAGGTCAGCGACTATGTTATGCTCACTGTTGTATCCCAGTGCCTCTAACATTTCCATGAATAACTGTACATATCTTACCTTGAGCACAATAGCATCTTCTTAATGGATCGCTCTACCTCCAGCCTCTTTCGCCTCCAATACAGCTCTTACATAGCTGTCTGGATAGTTTTCCTAAAACAAAGGGCAGAAGCTAACATCATTCATCTTCAAAAATCTTTCATAGATTCTCTCTTGAAAGCATCATCACCTCACTCCTCTAATCTTGCCTGAGTGTCGATCAGTGTGAACATTACCGAACATGCCACATCTTCAACCTCTATTGAACAAACTCCAAAAGAGTCTGGAGACTGTGGCTGGAAATGAATGATAAAGATTTATTCAC